AAAGAGCAAAATCAATGGAGTAGTGATTTTGCTAGCAAATAAGCTCTTCCATGTGGCAGTAATTTTTTTTTTTCTACTATTCCCTGTATCCCCACATTACCAATTTCTGTCATTACTGCCCACTACCAAACTATCAGTTACTGTTCACCTCTAAAATTCTTTTACTTCCATCTCTTTCCATTCCCAAGTTCAGGCTCTTAATTATTGCTTACCTGTGTGGGTGATCTAGAACTGCTCCTTAGTAGAAAATAAATGTATAATATTTCTGTCTCTGAACATAACTTTTAATTGTCTTATGCTGGCACTATATTTTTCTTTAACCTGTAAACACATCTCAGGTTTTTCATTCACCTTCCTCCACTCTAACCGAAGCTATTAATCTTTCCTGTCTTCCTTTCCACACTAACCATGATGCCATGATGCCTTTTCGGTTGCTTTAATTCTTTCCTATGTATCATTGGTTTCTTAACCTAGAATCATCTGGGTAGATTTGAAAATCTGTATTTCTGGGCCTCACCACAGCTTTTTGTTTTTCTTTTTTTTATAGAAAATTGACACTAAACTTGCTCCCTCACTTCTCAAGGAAAAATAGCACTAATACAAGTAGTTTCTCAAATATTGTTATAAAAAAGCCAAAAGACAGAATAATTTACCAGTGTCACACTGTGTTCCTGCCAGTTTCCTCTTCTACAGTTCGTTCCTTAAGTCCAGCGTGGCTTCAGCTTAAATTTGTATAGTTTAGTGAACTGAATTTTTCTCCATTACACATGCTGCTTCTTGAGTCTTTGTTACATAAAACAATGAAGAAGATGTTTAAATTTTCATGAATGTTAATAAGTCTAATTACATTTTATTATATTAATTTTTATCTGAAATCTTCATAGAATATATGAAATTGCTTATTGATAACTATAATTTTTTAGTAGTTATTGTTGGTCTTGCAATGTTAAAGATAAGCTGAGAAAAACATGGTTGGAAAAAGGCTTGACATCACCAAGCTTACAAGTGCTTAGAAGGGGATTAAAAGTAGCTTGGATTAAAAATACTTTTAGAGGCTTGGTTTATTTCCAAGCTGCATTCTCTTACCTCTACTACCTTGTAGCTCTAAGTAGATCAAGGGAATAATTAAATTTTTTTTAATGCTTAATTGTGTATTACAGGATAAGCATTTTTAATGCTTAATTGTCTATTACAGGATAAGCATTGCTGATTATAAATGATAGTTCAAATAGTTATACCTCTAACATTGGTATGGTTATTTTAAACATGCATCTTACGGAGATTTTTGTTTGTTTTTAAGGATATTTTGGAACTCTTAGAAAAGAGAGTGAAGTCACGATTTTCCCACCGGCAGATACACTTAATGAATTCATTTGGTTTTCCACAGTATCTTAAAATATTTAAAGAACAATTATCTCTACCTGCAGTATTTCCAGGCAAGATTTTTGCTGAGAAGTGGAATGAAAATGTTCAGGTAGTTTGGGAAAAAGGCAATAATGTTAAAGTAATATTTGTGTCTTGCTATACCATTTGAAAGCAATTAAAACTTGAAAATCTTTAAAATCTGTAAGTTAGCATAAAATTTCTAATATTACTGTGGCGCAAAACTGCATTAATACAAATTATACTCTTTTGTGTGTGTATTTTCTTTTAAAAAACTTTTTTTTTCTCAAAGGAACTTTTATGAGATTTGTTTTATTTGTATCTGGTTTATATTTTAGATTACTTTGTTAATGAACTTCATCATTAAATATTTATTTTCTTTATTTTATAAGTTTAGCAATATATTAATTTAGTAAGGTTCATACCTTCCTATCCAGTGTGGATTTTCTTTTCCAGTTCTCATGAAAACTTAAGCGTTTTTCTCATTGGGTCTATTAAGAGGCAATTCAGACTGTGGCAACTTTGGTTATATTATCTATATTGACATATCCCATCTTTGAGTCCTTGGAGCCCTGAGGGTCTTAAGTTGCAAATGCACACTCACTTGTTGTTTTAAACATTTACTGAACCTTGTGGACTCTAAATATACTTAAGTTGAACAGCCTAATTTGTACAGACTGTTGTTTTATCAGCTAAGCATACTAGCATCAGTTTATCTTATATTGACAATTTTAGTTGGCAGGGAGAAGGGAGAGAGTGTATGTGTGTGAATGTGTGTTTAATAATGTGTTTGAAAAACAATATTACTGAATAAATCTTACATGTCAAAAATATGGACCTTGTGAAAGTAGAAAATAATATAGAGTCCTTGGTTATGAAAGAATTAGGAAAAACTGGTCTATAATATTAAATACTAACGAGTGAGGATGATTAGATCTGCTTAGAGTTAAACAGTCTATATTCTTTGGCTCTAAAAGATTGTTTTATGTTATAGCAATAATGATAGATTATATTTTTTTACTGTAAAATCTTAAATATCAATACCAAATTAAAAGTGAGAGTTTGCATTTATTTTGTTCTTTAACGATTCTTGTTTTTTTCCCATCTTTGTTGAGGTATAATTGACAAATTAGAAATTGCTTATATTTAAGGTATACAACTTGATGTTTTGGTTTACATTGTGAAATACCACAATCAAACTATAATATTTAACATATCCATCACCTCATATAGATTTCTTTCTTTTCTCCTTTTTTTAAATTTTGTGGTAAAACAGTTAAGTTCTATCTTCTAAGCACATTTCAAGTATATAGTACTGTATCGTTAACTGTAATCACGTTGCTGTCCATTACTTATGCAGAACCTAACTTGTATAACTGAAACTTGATTCTTATTTTGATTTTAAAATAGAGTCAGCTTATGTGAGCACTATTAATTTTGACACAGTTTTTTAAAATTAAAAGTTATGAACAAAATTTAATCAGTGCTTAAGAATACATGGTAAAAGGTAGAATTTTCCCTTATGTCTATGCCCATCTTCCCTCCTTTCACTACAAAGTAATTATTTGGTTCATAGCATTTCAGACCTTATATATTGATATATGCCAAATTTGTTTTTACATAAAGGATTCAAACCTTAAATATTATTCTTTGGTTTACCTTTTTTACTTTGTTGTAATCGTTAATCTCATATTTTTTCCTAATATAACTGTACAGAATTGTATATCAAAATGATTGACTTTATCCTTAAATCATGATACTGTGTCATGATATAATTAGGTGTGGGTCCTTCCTTCCACCTTCCTCCCCAAATTAACTTTTCCTGGGACTCAGATATTTACTAGCTCGTGCAAGTTTTTCTTGATACTATGTCTAATTATAAGAGTCCATGCTGTAAGAACACTTTATAGTTGGTGCTCTCACATTGTCTTTCCCTTTACCTGGATCTGGAGTGGGTCAGAGCTCTGAATCTTTGGCCTCTGTCCACTTTTGAGTGCGTCACAGACTTTCATCTTTTACAACTCCTGAACTGATTGTCTTGTTGCAACAGTGTGTTTTTCTGATTGCTTTAGTGATCAAAGCAGTCTTAGTATTTAAATGTCTGTGCTTTCCCAGCGCTTTTATTATTCTTATCCCTGCTTACTTTCTTTTCCTAAGACGACTACGTAAGCCCAGATTATACTGTACTGTCATCCATCTTTCTGTCCCTCCCAGCTATGTTGTATTCTGAGATCCTAGAATGGGTATATAAAGGAAGTAGATGGTGACAGTTACTGTGAAGCATAACTCTGGATGACTTAGAAAATGGTAAGCATGTGATGTAGAATGGCTAACCCTAGGTTTTTGGTCCTTCTTTGCTGATCACTGAATTTAGAGGCAGAATGATAGGAATGAATGTGAACACTCTCCTGTCATCTTTTTGATAATCTTACAGTTCTTTAATAAGGTAGAACTAATACCACTGGAGTTTGTGTCTCTTAGTTCTAATATTTTCTTGCCCTATCCCAATGATCATTTGCCACCTCCCTTTAGGGTATGCTCATAAATGAGCTTCACTTGAAAAAAATATGTCAGCACCATGGCCAGAGGCCCTGTCTGAAAAGGGGGGGTGTGCACTGAAGGAGCTGTCCTTTCACTCAGTGCTGACTATCCAGCAAGTTTTTCTAATTCCAAGGTTAAACAAAAGCAATGGTATAGATGACAGGTCACCTAGGGAATCTCATCCAAGAAATATCTTCAGGGTAGACTTGAACCTGGACATCCTGCCTAACTTGAATGTTTGTTTTAGCCCTATCCCAAATATGTAAGCAGGGTAAATACCATCTCAGCATGGCAGTATAAGAAAAATCTGTATAAAAGCCTTTAAAAGGACCATAGCTCAGAATGACCATCATCAAAAAATCTACAAACAGTAAATGCTGGAGAGGGTGTGGAGAAAAGGGAACCCTCTTGCACTGTTGGTGGGAATGTAAATTGATACAGCCACTATGGAGAACAGTATGGAGGTTCTTTAAAAAACTAAAAATAGAACTACCATATGACCCAGCAATCCCACTCTCAAGGCATATACCCTGAGAAGACCATAATTCAAAAAGAGTCATGTATCAGTGTTCATTGCAGCTCTATTTACAATAGCCAGGAAATGGAAGCAACCTAAGTGTCCATCAACAGATGAATGGGTAAAGAAGTTGTGGTACATATATACAATGGAATATTACTCAGCCATAAAAAGAAATGAAATTGAACTATTTGTAGTGAGGTGGATGGACCTAGAGACTGTCATACAGATTGAAGTAAGTCAGAAAGAGAAAAACAAATTCCATATGCTAACGCATATATATGGAATCTAAAAAAATAAAAAAGGTTCTGAAGAACCTAGGGGCAGGATAGGAATAAAGACTCAGACATAGAGAATGGACTTGAGGACACGGAGAGGGGGAAGGATAAGCTGGGAGGAAGTGAGAGAGTGGCATGGACGTATATACACTACCAAATGTAAAATAGATAGCTAGTGGGAAGCAGCTGCATAGCACAGGGAGATCAGCTTGGTGCTTTGTGACCACCTAGAGGGGTGGGATAGGGAGGGTGGGAGGGAGATGCAAGAGGGAGGAGATGTGGGGATATATGTATATGTATAGCTGATTCAGTTGGTTATATAGCAGAAACACACCACTGTAAAGCAATTATACTCCAATAAAGATGTTAAATAAATTAATTAATTAAATAAAAGGACCATAGCTAATTCTCCTCAAAGGAAATTCCCACAAAGTGCTATAGCTAAGTTCAAGAAAGATCTTAACCTTCCCTGTTTAGTTAACAGAAGGTAAGAATGTTTAGCAGGAAGACTAGGAGATTTAGTATATATACTGCTGCCACTAAGTTATCCCTGGAGCAGCATGAGCCCTCAGGTACTAGTGTAATCCTATAACATTCTCCTTAGAAACTACCTGTGAAGAGGGCACTGGTCAAGCACACTTCAGTGAGCACATTAAGAACTTCTTTCTGCAACTGCTACTCCTGTGCTCATCAGTGACAAGGGAATGTGTCAGCTTCCCTGAATAAGGCAGAGAAGACTAAAAACAGTAGCAAGGGAATGGGGACTATAACTAGAATAATATATTTACTGAGAGCATAAAACTTCATCCCATTAGACTAGAACTTATTCATGAATCTGGATCTTCTCACAGTGGAAGAAGTAGAGACATACAGTTTCAGCTCTAGGAAATACAGAAATACTTAGTTTTCTGGGCCTTTTTTTTTTTTGGAAAAAGAATCCTTATTCTTTGCAGATGAGTTTTGAAAAATTATGTCAGTCTTATCCAAGCCTTTTTTGGCTCTGCCAACTCTGATTTTACTGTCCTTTCATCTAATCTTTTCTTTGGTGCCAAGTGAACCTCACCTTTCATTAATCCTAATTCACTGCAGTCACTGTTTTTAGTCTTCTCTTTCTCTCTTAAAGGGCTTGCTGTTGCTATATATATATTTGTATCATAAACAGGGTTGAATACCCTTGGAAGCATACCAGATGAACATAAAATAACAAAGCAAAGTAATACAAATAGAAAACTTTGGGAAATTAACTGTAGTCCTTGCTTCTGCAGTTGTTGACTCTTACCAAGTCATTTATAAAGTTGATATATTAAATATATATTTAGATATTGCTTTTTCAAAGGGCCCTATTGAGCTCTAAATTTCCAAAGCCATCAACTTCTCAAAATACATCCTAATTTAGTTATACAAAGTATGTAGTTTACATTGTTGATCACCACTTCTCTCTTGAAGTGTGTCCCTCTTGTTTTCTTCCCCTGGTTTTATTGCTCTCTTTTGGGTTCTATTCCAGTCTTCAACATCTTTCTCAGTCTCTTACTTTGCTCCTCTTTTTCCATTTACTTCTTTTTTTTTTTTTTTTTTTTTTTTTTTTTTTTTTTTTTTTTTTGGGGGG